CCCCCAAAACCCCAAAACCCCAAAACCCCTTCTACTATTTCGACATTGAAATAATTATTATAAAAATGGGAGGTAAACTAGACAAAGTAATATTCCCTGCTCCATCTCCGAGTTACTATGCTCAAGAAGGTAAGAAAAATATTTTATTTGGTCTTGAGGTTTGATATGCACCAATACACATTTTAGTTAATTAGTTGAACTTGCTGCTGTTTTCAGAGTAAACAGAATAATAATTTTTTAGATTTTGAGGATAACGGAGGCAAACTTATTTACGTTCCCAAGGCTGCAGAAGAAAGCAAATAATTATTCATCTGGTAAGTACGAAAGATCAAAAATTTATAATTATCAATAAATCTAGCTTGCTTTAAATATTCTTCTCTTAATGAATGCATGATGAGAATATTTCAAATTTATTAGTCATAGAAGATTTGAATGAAAGCTTTTATTAAAATTTCTTTGAGTATTACTCTAATTTATTGGTTTTACTAACGAAATAGAACAATTCTCATTTCTCTAATTTCTATGACTTAAGTCTTATTTATTGATAATCTACTCCACCGGTCTCTATTTTCTTTTAAATGGATCTATCATACTACTTAATGTACAATACCTCTATTGCTAAATTCCTTGCTTCCTAAACAATCCTAATCTGATAAAATAGGTGGAATTCTAAGCTGAGTAAAAGGATTGGATACAGAGGACAATCCTTTTGATTATACAGATACTTTCCCATGATACTACATTCCTTGTTTGACAGGCTCTGATAAAGTCGTAGTATACTTCCATGGGAATGGAGAAGACCTCGGTAAGTATAGTACACTTATTCCTCACCAAGAATTATAAGCAAATGGCCTTATAATTCCTTTGATTAGGAGATAACCTCATATGAAGATTTGGTTTTGATTTATAAATATGAACAAAGAATTTCTACATTATTCAGTTTCAAATTTAAAACTATTTTACTTCTATATTTTTGGTTGAGATGGACTAAAAGAATCAGATTTGAGAGTTCAATCTAATTACCATTTGTTTTAACCAAATCATAGGATATGCAACAGATGTTCTGAGAGAGATAGTCAGAATAATGAAATGCCATGCAATTGCCTTAGAATACCCTGCTTATGGAGTCTGATTTGAAGAGAAGGCAGATGCTTTTGAAATCAAAAAGAGAGCTTTAAGCTTGCAAAAATACTTAAGTGAAGCTTTTGGATTTAAAGAAAAGAACATAATTCTTTATGGAAGATCCATAGGGTCAGGAGTTGCTACCTATGTAGCCTCTAGAATGAATCCGGGGCTAGTAATACTCCATAGTCCGTATTCAAGCATTGGAAGCGTTGCTTTACAAATAACAAAGCTTTACTATATTCCCAAAGTGTTTATTAAAGAAAGGTTTGACTCTAAAAACTGAATCAAGAATATTAAGTGACCTATCTATATTACTCACGGAAAGGTTGATGATATTATCCCTATTAATGAGGCAGAAAAGTTGATTGAAGAAATTGAAAAATATGATATTCCTCTAAAGTATGACTTCTGGGAAGGAAAAGGACATAATGACATGCATATGGAGGATGAAGTTTTTCATCCAGCATTACAGTTCATGGAAGAACAATCTTTCAAAATCAATTCAAAAACTAGCAAAAAGAATTTACAAAATTTTGAACTTGCAAAATTCATTGAAGACCAGAGCAAAGCTGCTTTCTAAATACATTCAAAATTCATCATTCGTTATTCACAAGGATTCTAATTTCAACAATGTTATAATAAAAGGGGTTTTGGGGTTTTGGGGTTTTGGGGTTTTGGGG